CTTTTATTTAAAGTTATTTTTTCAATTTTCCTTTTGATGTGCTATCTGTCACTGTTACAATAAACCTACCATTGAAATGATACTGTTCTGAGACTTTTAATTTCTTTGTCATTGGACAAACTTACAAAATCAGCGAGGGGTCAAATAATTATTTCCTCCACTGTATATATGTATGTATATCTTACAAGACATGAACAATACTTTTGGCTATGGCCCTCGACTATGTCCATCAATGCCTGTAGCAGAGCTAGAAAAGTGTTGTAAATTATCCAAATAGCAAGAGTAAAAGCTGTATATTTGGTCCTTGGCAGCTACATGCTCGAGGCATCCAAACATCCCTTTGATTGCACATAGTAAACAAGCTAAATGAAATCATAAAAAATAAATTACCAAATGCGAAAAGATTATACATTTATAAACTGACTGTTCGTGTCATTTTGGCATTTCAGTACCTCACCACCGACATAGAATATATTATTGTTTTCACATTAGCAGGAATTCTTAACAGACTTAAATGAGCAATACATATAATAAGTTTATGGCTTAGAAATTTAGCAATACTGTTGCTGTTGTAAAAAAAATATTTTTTTGAATGAAGGTGATTTTCTTTTCCCTCAGTGGCCTCTTTCTTTCTCTGTGCATCTGCTATCTTGAATGCCGCAGATTCTCACATGCAGGCCAAAGTCAAACTCTGATCATTAATTCAGCTTCCCCTCTAGCCTCTTTAGTGAAGAGCACAAGCTATAAGAATAAAGGGATAATTTCTAACATTGCACAGCTGGTTTATTGGAAGTTATTGTGGATCTTTCTGGGAGATTCATGGTTGTTGTTGTTGTTGTTGTTTTTCTTTTTTTTGTTTTTTTTATTGACTTACCCTCAGATACAGCTAATTGTTTCCTCTCGCTGAGGATTAGAAAATACCAAAACCAGTAAAGCTGTAGATGGACCATTTTGCACTCTCTGTCAAACATTACAGATATATCATAAGGGTCCTCTAGAAAAAAAAATCAGTATAGAAATATGTTATGCTGTAATAATATGTTATATATGTTCTGCATCTTCAGTGACACCTGGGGGCTGTTCCACGAAGCGAGCTTATAAAATTGAGGATTATTTGTAATAGCCTCGCTTGAGTTAGCCTAACAGTTCACTTCAGGCTCATTGAATTCCACAAACAAAATTCAGGTGTATTTAATCTCCACTAATTCAAGCCAAGCTTGATAAGCGAGGCTCGTGCGCGTCCGCGCGATATAAAAGGCAGCCTTGTTAATCGATGCTGGATAAGTAAGAATGGAAACTAAGGAAAGAGCTGCATTTTTTCCCCAGGCAGAGCAAGAATTATTATTACAAGCCTATGAGGACTACAAAGATATAATAACTAGA